TATATTTTATACTATTTCATTCTACACATAGTTAATTAAATTAAAAGTAAATTACGTCGGTAGTCCCTAGATTTTAATTGTTTTGTTATTTTAATTTTTATAATTTTAATTGGTTCGATTTTGAATTAGATTTGTGACTTTGTCTCAACTAGTCCAATTGATTACAATTATTGACATTTTTTAATAGAAAATATATATATACAAATGACACATATCATATTTTTAAAAATATTTTAATATTTTTTTATTTTTTATTGACAACCTTTAAGATTTTCATTTGATAATCAAATGTGTATTATTCACTTTGTTTGGTTTTGATTTTCATAAAATTTTACTATTTTATTTTTCATATCTTTTCGTTTTCATTGATTTTTTTAATATTTTAAGTAATTTTTTTAATTTCTGAACACACCTAACATAATTACACTTAAAAAGTATAATATTTGTGAAAAAAAATCTTTAAAAAAGTCACTAAATATAAAGAATACAAAAATTCAGTATATTTTTGTATATTTATTAATTTTTTTACAAACATTTTACTATATAGATACATCTAAATAAGGTGTATCTAAAAAAGAAAAAAATAACTTAAAATTTTAAAAATATTCGCTAAAAATAAAAAAAAATAAAAAATTCAATTTTTAAAAAACTGAACTCAAATGATTAAGTCTCCGTTTAGGAAGTTGGCTTTAAGGCTTTTTTGACTAAAATAATCATAAAAAACAAAATAAGTTTTTTAACCCAATAAAATAAAATATCACATTCAATCTATAATCATTATATTCTTTCTCTCACAAAAAAGTTAAAAAAAATTAGAAATCTTTTCAAAATCAGACTTTTTAACCCTAAAATTAAAATAACAAAAAGAGTCAAAAAAAAACTAGGCATGAGTTTGTGACTTTTTTGGCTATTTTAGTCATAAAAGACAAAATATGTTATTTTAGTCACATCAAATCCATAATTATTGTACTATTCTCTCACAAAAAAAACTAAAAAATCCTTCCCAAACTAAATTTTTTAATTCAGACTAAAATAGATAAAAAAATTAAAAAATTAAAATGTCAACCTACTTTTCAAACGAAATCTAAAAAGTCAAGTCGCTTCCCAAATCGCAGTTAAAACGGAAGACACTGATTGGTATTATCTACGACATAAATAATGGGAGTAGCTAAAGCTGGATTAGACCAAATGGGCCACCACACCCCCAATTATTGTGCGTGTCACGTCGCTTCGGTACGACTGTACAAAAAACACGTGTAACCAATTATCTTCTTCTTCTTTTTTTCATTTTTACTGTGTTTTTTATTTAAAAAAATTCAAAAAAATTTACGTTTTGATGGACCAAAAAGTTGAAATGTTAAAATATTTTTAAAAAGTACATAAAAGACAAAGAAAATAAAAAAATATATGGTTTTTAGCTTCTTTTGTTGTGTCTATAATTTTTTTTTTTTTTTCTAAATTCATCTATATAAGATGGAATTGAAAAGTAAAAAAATTAATATAATTTTTTAAAAAATTACTAAAAATAAAAAAAATATAGGCCTTTTAAATTGATATCAAACAACCCAATTTATTTAAAAAATTATCTAAAAGTAATTTGAGAGAAACTAAAGTTGGGTTTGGTAGAGTTTTGGAAACTTAATTCTACACCTTAGTTTGAGTGCGTTGTTTGGTTACAATTTTCAAACATTAATTGCACATTCACTTTTAAAAAATGTATACCCTATCATCTTCCTAGATGTCCTCCGGAGGTCCAGTCAATTAACCGGAACAGTTTTTTTCTTCTTTTTTTTTTGCATCTATATGTATATATTTAAAAAAAAAAAAATTGAAAATTTTTAATTTTTTTTATGAGCTTTGAACAGAATTTGAGTTTTGTGTTTGGTTACAAGTTGTAAGTTTTTTAATCAAATATCATATGTCACATTAAAAATTTCAAATTCAATTCAAAACTCTTTTCAAAACTCAACTAAATAAAATTTTCATATTCAAATCATAATTTCAAAACTCACAAATTTAAAATACAATTTTATTTTTAAATCATAATTTTAAAGTTCTATCAAACGCTAACTAATTTTTTAAAAAATAGGCTGAGGTGGTGTTTGGGATGGAAAGTTCAGGCTAAATTAGCCACATGCGGACAAAAGAGGCTTATTTAGCCACATGACGACAAAAATGCTTGAACGGGTTGGAGAGGAACCCTTTTTCGGGTAAATTTACCAAAATACCCTGAAATATCCCTCAGATTCATTTCGCCCAACGCCTCACCACACACACAACCTTCCTAGGGCACAGAAGAAGCGAAGGAGGCGATTAATGGCAACCAACGGCAACGACATCTGAGGCAGCTTCGCAGAGGCGATCGACACCGGAGTACGCATCTGCGGCGGCGAAGACGACTCGCGAACAGGTCGGCAAATCGGACGGTTGGGGCGTACGTTGGCGGCAGTGAACAAGAACGAACCCTCTCAAACACCACCGATCTTCAAGTAACTCTTTCAAACCCTTCTGATTTCGTTTCCCTTTTCGCGTATGTGTGGCCTCTGCTTCCGATCTACTTAGGGTTCATGTGTGGAATCCCTTTCTCTGTATACAACGTTAGGATTTTTTCCAAATTTGGAAGAAAGTGTGGACTCTCTTTTTTTAAGTTGACACATTTTGGGTTCATTACAAATTGGGTTCATTACCGACCTGTTGAAGTGATTCGTCGTGCTTGGGTTCACACATTTTGGGCACAAATATATATATATATATATATATAGATACACATATATCTGTTCTTATATATAAATCTCTACATCTGTGAGTAATGAGGGCCGGAGTATGTTGTTGAGATCCGTAAAACACTCTGTTCTTCTTTTGATTTTTTTCTTATAATTATCATTAAAAATGAAAATTTTCATATCACAAGTTTGAATTGATGTATACAAATGCTGAATGAAATCTGATTTATCAAATTGATGTACACATTATTCCACTGCTAGTCTCCAGTCATTTTTGAAATAAATTCTGAATGAAATCTGTGAATGCACTTATATTATTGTGAATGCATATCTGATTCTGGTAAAGCTCTGTTCAGATCCGTAAAACACTCTGTTCTTCTTTTGATTTTTTTCTTATAATTATCATTAAAAATGAAAAATTTCAGATCACAAGTTCAAATTGATGTATACAAATGCTGAATGAAATCTGATTTATCAAATTGATGTATACATTGTTCCACTGCTAGTCTCTAGCCATTTTTGAAATAAATTCTGAATGAAATCTGTGAATGCATGTCTAATTCTGTTAAATACCTATTGATTTGTCATGAAATCTGAGTCTGTGAATGAATAAGGAAAACTGAAATGGGTTCTGTGATTTTTTAGTCAATGAGGGAGAAAATGTCAATTTTTTATATATTTTTTGTTATACTCAATGCTCAAGGCTGAATTTTTGGTATTTTTTGTTATACTCAATACTCAATACTCAATGCTGAAGAGGATGTCCAATTTTTTTGTTATTTTTATACTCAAATGCTGAAGAGGATGTCAATGCTGAAGAGGATGTCAACGCTGATTCTGTTAGAAATTTTTTTTTACAAAAAAGTATGTCCAATTTTCATGTGGATGTCAATTATGTTATATTTTCATGTCCAATTTAAAAAAAAAAAGCATAATCTTGTAAATTATTGATATAAATAGAGTATTCTCAAATTTCAAAAAGCAACTGAATAATAAATCACATGAAAAAACTAGGATAATAATAATAATAAAATTAATGGTTACAAAAGGAATCTGTGCAAGTGCATATTGGTTAATAAATACTCCTACCACTATACGTAAATTCAAGATGCACAATACTTTTACAAAAATTCAATTTCGTTAATGGAATCAAATATAAAATTGCGTTAGTCTTTGTACGTTTTCATGTTGATTCATGTAAATTTAATTGAAATGCCTATTGATTACGGCTTCATAATTTACAATGTTTTGATTTAATTTGATCGTGAATTCTTCATTTCAGTCATGTAAACACACGGTTACGTAGCCCTTTAAAATATATTAGGTTTGCAAAGGAAATTAGATCTCTGCTTTTCTATTATCACCTCCACAGTGAAACCATGATAATGTAGCCTGCTTTTTTTGTAAAATAAACTGAAGGAAGTTGAAAATTTGTATACCTATCCAATATAGAAATGTGCTTAACGTATTCGGTTTACGTAGCCCTGATATATGGATAACATAAACTAATTACTTGTATGATTCATGGTCACTTCCCATTGTTTGTAAAGCGTAGCATGGCTTCGTTTACCTCTACTGCAACTTCCAATACATGGCCACGACGAATGTGTGCCTGTGGACATGGCCCCTGTATTGTTAAGATTTCCAGGTCCACCAAAAATTCAGGGCGTCCCTACTTTGCATGTCCCCGCCTTGTGGTGAGTGACCCATTCTTTACCGGTCATAACTGTATGAACATTAACAACCCATGAAACTAATAGTTCCATCATTTGCACTTATCAGCCCTGTGTCAGTTGGATTGGTTGGTGCGAAGAACCAAAGCGAGAGAACCAAGACTATGCATCACCCAGAGACGAAATTGTCATGCAATTGCGGGCTGATGTCATAGACATCTAACAATCCTTGTGTGTCCTTAAGACCATTGTGCATGTGCTATGCATTGTCATTGTCATTTTGTTGTTCCGTATGTAAGCAACGTTACGATGTTGTTAATATGTACAAACACGTTAGTATGTTGGTAGTATGTTTTAGTATGACTTTAAGCTGCCTTTGCTTTTCTCCACTACGAAACGATAGACGTATTAATGACTATCATAACTATGTCCACTACTAACTTCCATGGAACCTATGTACGTATGTTATTAATGTGCAATGGTTATATGCTGGCTAATTTAGCATCATATCTCTCTATTTGTTGTTATTAATATGTAATGGCTTATGCGTCTGTATATAACAACCGAATTTGTGATGGTAATCTTTTGTAACCGTACATTAGTAATGGCTTCCATACGTACTTCTCTGCGTACCCAATCCAAAAGCAAAGGCATTGTCACTGAGAAGTCAAGCAGTCTTGAAGAGACACATAATCAGTTCAGCCACAAGCCCTCATGGGATAGTGACTCAATCCGAGTTTTCCTGCAGTTGATTGCAAATGAGATTACTAAAGAAAATCGCCCATTCCTAGTCCTCAGCCAAGCAGGGTACAAGTCCTTGGCAAGGAAATTTGAGAAAAAAAACAATAAGAAAACATGGACTGAAAAGTTGAAGAATAAGTACATGAGTTTGAAAAAAGAGTGGCAAGCGTGGACAAAGTTGATGGATTCAAGCAAAGGAGTGTCAGGGATAGGGTTTGACTGTGACACCGGTATGTTTCAGGCACCTGAGGAGTGGTGGGACAAGATGGAATCGGTAAGTACATGTACAAACAAGTTTCATATTTGTCATTTACCAGTACATTTTTAACTTTTTTAGTTAACTTTTAATTAATTATATGAAATGTAATGTCTTTCTCTTTCATATATTTCTATTTCAGCAGATAAACAAGATGTGTGCCGAGTTCAGGAAAAATACCTTGGAACATCGTGAGTTGATGGAGACGGTCTTCATGGGGGCATCAGCTACTGGTAAGCACCATTGGACCCCGGGAGAGAAACTTCCTGAAGTTGCTAATGACTCATCTGACTCAGTGCAAAGTTTGGGAGCCCAACTATTTGCTGATCCGATACCCGCAGGAGTACAGGACGTGGATTCAGATTCTTCACTGGAGCATGTTCCAATTGAAAAGGGGAAAAGGAGAAAGACACCATCAACAAGTGTTTCATAGTCGAAGAAGGCAACAAGTGGAGCGTCAGTTATTGCGGAAAGCATGAACAATCTGACAAATGTGGTGCGTACGAAGAATCAGCAGGTTACGGTGAGGTACCTCACAGGCAAGGAATCGCTGTTGTAATAACCCTCACCACTGTTTACTGATAAGCCATTGATTACTGTTAAACTGAGGCTAAATATGTTAATTGACTGACTGACTAAAAACTGAAGCCGAATTGATTGAGTATATTAGTTAAATTACAATTCTATCTGTTTGCCTGCCAAATTATCTGTTCATATCTTTGTGTTTAAACTGCTAATTGAAGGCCTTATCGGCGGCCGGATCTGAAATTGATTGATGTTCTGTGTCAATTAGATTTTATGTGATTTTATGGTGTATTTAATTAAAAAAGGTGTTTTGATATGATTAAATTGGATCAATATTGATAAATGGCATAAGTTGCATTATTTACCAAAGAGCCATATTGGTGGGCCACTATCTAAGACATATTGAAGCTTCATTAAACCTAAACACAACATTTGCTCTGTCCATTTGAGAGACAAACCGACTGAGAGAGAGAGAGTTAGGAGATTGAATTGTTCTTGAGGGTTTTGCTTGGAAACTTGAGGAAATTGTAGAAGACTTGCAACATTGAGCCTCCATACCTCTAATTCAAGACTTAAGGTAGAATAATTGCCTTCTTAATTGAGTATTTAAGTTCTATCTAGCATGGATCATGATAGTTTAAAGAGCTAAGTCAAAAATTGGAATAGATTGTTGAATTAAGGCTTAATTGTTGTATGCATGTCTATATCCTTGCATTTTGATGTTGATTTCATGGCAATTGGTGCATGCATGTTCATATTATTGCTATAGACCATGATTTCATCTTGTTTTTGTAAGAGTTGGCTCACTAGAGCATATATGTGAGGCTTGGAAGTTATTTAAAGTCATGCATGTCCCATGTTTATCTTGTTCATGA